AGTCCCATGCTGTTTTTCCCCAATCAAATTACGAAAGAAATGATGAAAATACCCCTACGAGTAAATATAACATGTACACTCATCAGCTCCAACATTTTCCTTTCGATTTGTCTCTTTCTCGCCATTAATGAGAGCTACATGTGAGTGGTGGAGCTGTACGTTGAAAAATACCCATTCTTGAAATAGAGTTATGCTTGAAAGAGGTGAGTTGTCTTAATTATTGACTCAAGGAAGCTTAAGGAGTTGTGCTGATGCGTGTAGACAGGTATTTTTTTTTTGGCAAATCCTTGTATCTGAACAAAAAGATTTACTCCATGAAGGTCTGATTTCTTGCAAAATGGCTTTCGTAAGGAAAAAGATGGAACGGTTTTCTGCAACTGAACATGAAAGATTTTTTTTATTTCACGTTTCTAAATATTTGGCATAAAGATTCGACATTTTGCAACTGAAAGTGTAAGAAATTACTATCGAGTGTCCATATTTTAAGATGGAACGTTATCACTGTTTAATTGATGCGAAATCACTTATGTCAAAAGTAACTTATTTTTAAGTGATATATTATTACATTTTATTTTGTTTCTTGTAGGTTGATATTATTGGGTACGATGAAAAATAGTTGTTTAAAGAAAATTTTTTGTTATTTTCATTTTGGTGGAGATATTGTAAAAGATATGCATGGGACAATGCATTATGATGAGGGGAGTTGTAATGAAAGAATGATTAGAGAAGGAATGTCTCTTGAAGGACTTGTTAGATTGATTTCATCATGCTTGAATTGTGATTTAAATGGAATAGAGTTGAAGTACACAGTGAAGTTTGATTGCAATGCTCTTTTAGACCTTAAAGATGATGAAGGGATAAATTAATTAATGAAATTGAATGATAATTTTGCTCATGTGTATATCATTAGGAAGACATAGCAAAGTACAAAGGCAACAAGAGATTCAATTGATGGGTAAGTTTTTTTAATAGTTGCATAATTAATATTATGCTAATATGAATATGGATGGTAGTAGTAAATATGATTTGAATAAAAATGCAGAGTAGGATGTTCAGCTGAGAATTTACATGCTACACAAGATCTTGAAGTTTTACCATGTGCAATACAAAGTATCCCAACACCAATGCCTAAGCTAAATGCAACAAAGTGGAAGGATTTGCTAGTAGGACCTAGGTAGATTTTTGCAAGTGCTGATGATTGTAGACAAGCAAGCTACAAGTATAGTATTGCACTATGCATGTTATCTTCGTAGTTCATAGGAGAAAATATACAATGGCACTATGCATCATGTTGAGACCCATGAGATGTCAAAGCCAAATGCATTGACAGTATCTAAGCTCATAAGCCAAACCTTTTTGCTGCCTCCTAGAACATCTTGATCAGTTGGTAGACCTTGTCATGTGAGGATTGAGTCTCAATATCAGCAGGAGAAGGTTTATCATTGTTCTTATTGTCATGAAGTAAGTCGTACATGGAAGAGGTGTAGAAATCTAAATCCAAATTGATGTTATTATAAATGGGTTACCATATGAACTTGGATTTGGGTGATATACATATATGGGTAGTTTTAGATCAAGTTAGATTTAGTTAACATATATAAGTTTTTATACATATATATTGGTAGTATTGGGGGATTTTTTTGGTACATAACAACCCCTCTTTTATAAATCCAAGTTCATGCTTTTGTGTATGTGGACAACTGATATGTGCAGATGCATTAGATGAATTAATACATGCAACTTATATGTACAGTTCATATCTTCTGTAATCATAAAAGTATGTTGTCTTAAAATTTCGAACAGAGGTTGCAAATTATTTGTAAGGCAGTTGTAAAATTTGGTATGTCAATTAAAATTACTCGAGCCATGTCCTAAAATAATTTGGTAGTTTTGCAAGTTTAAGAATTCAAAAGTTATTCCACCCAAAATTTCGAGAATGAGTTGCAAATTATTCGTAAGGAAGTTGTAATATTTAGTATGTTAGTTGCAAATTACTGGAGTCATATCCTAAAATAATTTCATAGCTTTGCAAGTTCAACAATTTAAAAGGTATTCCACCCAAATTTTTGAGAATCAGTTGCAAATTATTCGTGAGGAAGTTGTAAAATTTAGTATGTTAGTTGCAAATTACTGGAGCCATGTCCTAAAATAATTTGGTAGCTTTGCAAGTTCAAGAATTCAAAGTTATTCCACTCAAAATTTCGAGAAGGATTTGCAAATTATTTGTAATAAAGTTGCAAAATTTGGTATGTTAGTTATAAATTACTGAAATGTTATCCTAAAATAATTTGATAGCTTTATAAGTTCAAGAATTTAAAAGTTATTCCACCTAAAATTTTGAGAAGGAGTTGCAATTTATTTGTAATGAAGTTGCAAAATCTGGATGTCAGTTGCAAATTACTAGAGCCATGTCTTTGGTAGCTTTGTAAGTTTAAGAATTCAATAGTTCTTCCACCCAAAATTTTGAGAAGGAGGTGCAAATTATTTGTAAGAAAGTTATAAAATCTGGTGTCTCAATTGCAAATTACTGGAGCATTATCTTACAATAATAACTTTTAAGAATTCAATAGTTCTTCCACCCAAAATTTTGAAAAGAAGTTGCAAATTATTCATAAAACAATTGCAAAATTTAGTGTCTGAATTACAAATTACTAGAGCATTGTCCTAGAATAATAACTTTTTTAAAAATTCAATGGTTCTTCCATCTAAAATTTTGACAATCAGTGGCAAATTTGTCTCGAGCTAGTTGCAAAACTGGGTACCTAAGTTGCTTGACAACTTGATTGATTGGGTATAATGTATAACTTGAACATTATAAATACGTTTCAATATTACAAGTTGGGAATAAAATTGTGAAAACAAATTACAAAGTTACAAAGTTGCAAACTTGATTAATTGGGTATAATGTATAACTTCAAACTTAAAATCCATTTAAGCATGTCATCACTTGTACAAACTACATAGTCCCCCTTCAGCTAAGACGCTCAGGGAAAAAAATTGAAAAAAAAGCAATTTCTGCATAATTGAAATGGTGAATGTTGATGAGGATCAGACTCTTCAGCTAGGCAAATGCATTACACCCATCAAAGATTAATGACCAAAACGGATTACAGATTAATGACATAAGCAATTGATCACTTAAAGCAGAGAAGAGATGTCAAACAGGACTAGAATAGAGATGACAGACAGCTTTATTAGATAGCTCAGGGAAGAGACGACAGAGAGCTTTACTCGCTTGCAATGAGACAGGGAAGAGATGATGAACAGGGCAGGGAAGGAAGAGACAACGAACAAGGCAGGGAAGGAAGGGACGACGAACAGGGTAGGAAAGAGTAGAGAAGGAGAAACCTCAAATTTTTATTAGCCAAATAAGGGTATTTCAGTCATTTTTCATTATATTAAAATACTACTCAAGGACCTAGGGACTTAACTAGCTTTTCAAAATGTCTTGGGACTTACGTTGAATAAAATTGGTCCTTTGGGACCTAATTGTCATTTTCCCTAAAAGATTTTAACAACTTAATTTACTTATTTGTATTAATAATTATATTGCAGAGTCTTATTAGCTCATACGGTAATATAATTATTCTAAATATTTGTGAAGATCTTAAAATCTCACATAATAAAAAAATTTAACAACTTAATTTATTTTAGTTAAATTTTTAAATAAATATAATATTATTAAGCATATTTTAACGATTCTTGATTGTTATACTCATATAGCTTTCCTGACTTATACGGTAATATGATTATCCCAAATATCTGCAAAGATTCAAAATCCTCACTTAATAAAGGATTAAATAATATATATTTTTAAATATATTTTAAATATATTTTAATGCGTAAATATAGAATTTTTATTTTTAAATATAGGAATTCTAATCGTTATACTTACAAAACCTTATTAATATACACGGTAAAATGATTATTCTAGAGGTCTATGAAGTTTCAAAAATCTCACGCGACCAACAAATTTAATCAATAAATGTGATTATAATTCAAATACATTAATTTAATTGATTAACTTTATTAAAAAAATATTTATTATTTTATTTATAAAATTTATTTATTTATTTCTATATAAATTGAGAATCACAATATTTGCGAAGATTTATTATCTCACACGATGAGGTAATTAATCTAGGTATCTATAGAGATTCTTTAAATCATATTAAATATTTTATTAATTTTTTTAAATTTAAAAAGAAAAAGAATTAATTAAATAATGGGCCATTGGAAATCTATTAATATATACGAGTTTGATTCTTATACTTATAAAATCTTATTAATTTACATGATATTAGATCGTTCAAAATACCTGTAGAGATTCTTAAAATCTCACATGATAAATAAATTTAAATATTATATGTTATTAAGAATTTTACAACCAACAAATAATTATGAAACTCACGTTCAGGAATAATTTCAATGATAGTATAAAACGTGCAAAAGGAAAAGGAGAATCCCAAAACACATAACTTGATATAATGCCACACAAAATAATTTATGTAATCTCTATATATTTTAAAATTCTCTTGTTACTCCATTAATCTTATAAAGGTGTGGTGGCAAATGAAAAGGACTCATTGTCCACTGATACAATTCTTAAAACAAACATAGTGAAGGGAATTGCAAGGATAATTTTTTTTTTAAGTGTAGTATTTTTACTTTAGAGTTTTAATCAATAAACTCATTTTAATAAAACTAAGAGAGTGAAATTAACTATTAAAGCAACATCACCTTAGACTTAGAGAACTGAAATAAAAGCAATCAAGAATATTGCTCTCAATCCTAGATTCCGTTCCCCTTCCACTCTCTTCCTCTCCCTTTTAGACTCTCGGACTCTCCTTCTCTCAAACCCAGCTCTCCATTCTCTCTCCCTTTTTCAAAAATTTTTCAATCTCCTCTCGAAAATCCTCTAGAAATCCCTCTGCTTTCTCCTCGCGCGCTTGTCCCTCTTTTATAGATGAAGAGTGCAATTCATAAATATAAAATCTTACCAGATTCAGCTTCAGAGGCTTGCGTGGGAGATGAAATACTGATTGCGTGCTTCACTCCTCTTTGATTACTGCATCCAGCGACGTTCTTGCGTCTGTGTTTCTCTGGTCTTTCGTCTCTGGAATGGCTGAAAGTGTTCGTGTTTGGCTTGTTCTGTGTGAGTCTGCCCTCTTTGTGTTTTTGTTTCTCTGCCCTTCTGTGTCCGGCCGAAAGCAGTTTAGAGTGTTGTGCCTTCGTCTCGTCTCTCTGCCTCTTCTTTCCTCTGTGTGTGCGTCTGCTCTGCGTTTTCATCTCTCTTGTGTTTCTTCTGCTCTCTGCTAGAACAAAGAAAAGGGATAAAAGGGGTGAGTGCTGCGTTTCCCTCTCCCTATTATTTATTTTTTTTAATGCTTTTGCTTTTTTTTATCAATTAATTTTAAAAATTAAATTAAAAAAATATAATTTAAATTGATCAAAAACATTTCTTTTTTTTAATGAAAAATAATAAGTTTAAAAAAAATAATTAACTTTTAAAAATTAATTCTCAATATTTTAAACTATTGAGATAATTTAAAAGATATTTTAAAAAATTTAAAAAATATTTTTTTTATTTTTAAAATTGATTCTAAAAGGAGATTAAATTTATTTATCTTTTTTTATTAAATTATTATTATATTTTTTTTGAAAATATAATCTTTAAAAAGATTAAATTTTATTTTTATTTTTTTATATTTTTTAATTATTTTAATGAATTAAAAAAGTAAAATTCTAATCAACAAAGATTATTTAAGTTAATATAAAATTAAATTTTATTAATTAAATTTTTTTATATTTTATCTATATTATTAAAATTTTATTTTTTAATTATTATTTTTATTAAATATAAAATATGTCCGGATAAAATATAGTGCTTACAAACAACATGAGCTTGATTTGTATGTGAGTAGCTAGAAGTTTGGAATTAGGGCCCACTCGTTCCTAAAGTTGTCGAGTTCTATGGCCGAGATTTGATTTTGGGATGTATTAAGGCTATTTCTGGACTGAACAATCTGAAATAGTCGCTGGATGAATTTGTAGGGATATGAAGGGTAGTTTTGATTGGCGCTATGAAGAAGGCCAAGCGATCACTTGAAGGAGAGAACCGTTAAAAGCCCCCACAAGGGAGAATTCAATGGTAAAGTCTGTGACTTTTTCAATGTCACTTTTGTAGAGATGGATTGGTGTTAAGTACACTGCTTGTTCAATGTTGTGTTGGTGCATCGTGAGGTTCATCCCTTACTTGATATCTCTCTTTGTGAGAAGGATAGCTCCTCCACATGAAATGGAATCGAGTCTATTCCTACTGCTAAAAACCAAGTGAAAAGTGCTATGTTCCTTCTGCCAGAACCAGAGCATGAAGCCCCTAGTTGTCTCCACCATCTTCTTCCTCATTTCGCTTCTCTCTCTTTTGCTGTGATTGTTTTCTTTAACAATACTAAGGAGGTTGTGGATTTTTCTTGCAGGCGCTGGTTCAATAGGAGTAAACGTCAAAATTTATAAAGGGAGAGTCAGAGAAGGGGGAGAGAGAGAGAGATAGAGATATATATATTTTTTGTGCCTTTTTCTTCTCATGCCTCTCCCTCTTCTTCCTCTCGTTGTTTTATTCTTTACTTTTTCTCCTACTGGTTGGGGTTTTGAGGGAGGAACTGTATCTTTGGAGAGCCCAAAAACAAGCCTTGACCATTACTTCTGCTAAGTTAGGGAATTAAAGTTCGTATCTGAGCAATGTTTTCAAACCATTGGATAGGGGAGAGGACTATACCATTTTGTAAGCTTTGCTCAATATTGACATGGTTGTTTTGTTTCCTGTCTTAACTTTCAAAATTGATGCATCCAATGGCCAAATGAAGGGAGTATTACTATGAAAATCAAGTGTCCAATAAGAGAAATAAACTTACGTCTCTTTAAATTTAATGGGAAGTGCTGAGCACTTTATTTTAAATAGTTGATGAATTATTTTGTATCACTCATAATATAGAGTGCTAGATGCTTCTAAAAAAAAGTTTATGGATAAATTTATTCCTTTATCCTTTTTTATTTTATTTTAGATAGATATAAAATTAAAAGTTTATTATATTTTTAGATAAAATTAATAACTTAATCAAATGTCCTTGATTTAGGTAATGTAGTTAGATGTGCCTTATAACATAGATTAGAAGAAATAGTTTGTATGCATTTTAAGGGGACGAAGCCTCATACAATAATTAAAATAACTGGTTTTAACGAGGGAGAATGATAATAAGATACCACAACTCTAAATTAATAACATGAATGTTTTTGATAAAACTTAAAAAAATGAGTTGTGAATATTAATTTAGACAGTTAATTAAGAACAAAATCTTAATGACTTTTAACTTATTTGAATTAATATGGGGTTAAAGGGCTTTTTTTTCTCAATATTTGTTCAGGAGCATTTAATATCCTAAACTTTCATGTGGTGCAATTTCTCTTTTTAAATTTTGAAAATGGTGCATTGAGTATCTTGCTATTAAAAAAGTTAACTTTAATTGTTAGTTGACAAAAAAATTAAGACCTAAAAATTACAAAAAAGGACCTATAAAATTACAAATAATTATCCTATAAGAAAATTAATATCGATTAAGTCCATAAAAAAATATTTGGTCAAAACTGTATTTTAGTCTTTTATATGAGTAAGAAATGACATTTATATCCTGTTATTATATATAATTTAGATGACTTAATTGATATTAATTCTCTTATAGGGAACTTGTGTATAATTTTATGGGTCATTTTTATAATTTGTGAGATCCTTTCTTGCAATTTTAAAGTCAACTACCGGTCAAAATTAACTTTTTAAATGGTAAGGTGTTCAATGCAACATTTTCAAAAGTTGAAAGGAGAAATTATATCATATAAAAATTTAGAATACCAAGTACTTCTAAGTGAATAGTTAAGGGTAAAAAAATACCCTTTAACCCATTAATATTTGCAACTTACTTTTAAAAAAAATTTGGTCAAAGACTTGTATGTTATTAATTCAATGTTTTGAGATTTAATTGTTATTCTTCCTTTAAATTGTCTATATATTATAATATTAAAGGACAAAAATGCTCATGAACTTTTCCTCCAAGAGCATCCAATTTAAATGAAGGATAGTGCAAAAGTGCCCATAACATTAATTAAGTTGGTGTAAAAGTACTCAAAGTATAAAATACCTTAGATGTGAACTATTTAATTGACATATAACCAAACTGTTGACTAATTTTGTTGACATGGAGTGATCCTTGTTAGCATTTATTTTGCTAAGTCACTTTCTCTTCGTCACTATCTACTGAGACACTTTCTCTCTTCATCACCTTTTTTGCCCTCCTCTTCCTCCTTAAAACCACCAAATTAGCCTTCGGTTGTCATGGGTTTGATCGGTGAGGCCCAAATCACCCCAACCCACATCAATGATGAGGAACACAAACTCTTCGCGATGTAATTGGCTAGTGCCTCCATGCTCCCTATGATTCTAAAATCAGCCTCGAGCACGTGGCTGGGCAGTGTTGCTTTGAAGGTATGGCTAGAACCTTGATATGATTTCTACAACGGAAGAAGATAATGAAAAAGACTTTGAAACCTCAAAGGAGGGCAATGCCATGAGAACAAGCAACGAAAGGTGAAGACACCAAAAGGATAAGAACAAGGCAGTTGTTCCTCACCCCAGTGACACGTGGTGATGAATGTGAAGGAATATTACAGAGTTTAGCTTCTTCAATGATTTGAGGACGGTTGCACTTATTAAATCAACATTGTAAATATTTTTGCACCCTTCTTTATTTAAGAATAATAAGTATTCTTGAAGGAAATTCATGAATATTTTTATGATTTAACCCTATAATATACTGATATTGATTAACATTGTTAAAAAGTAATTTAAAAAAGAAAATTAGAAAATAAAGGAGGGGATTGGATTCCATATTGTCTATGGTACTATTTTTTTTTATTTCATCACTCAGTATCTTAGAAAACTTGAGGATATCATTATCTTTAGCCTTCAATTCAAATCCTCATTGGCCGTATTTGGTATGAAGGAATGAGATAGTGAGATTGAGACTCATTAAATAATTTCACTTTTTTATGTTTGATATAAAATAACGTACATTCTAATTTTGGTATTAATCCCACCTTTCATGGGATTAACAATACCACCTCCCTATGGTATTGCAAAATCAATTTTGGATTGATTTTTTTAGGCAAAAATACTAGAGCCAGTAATTTGGGTCGAGCCCGACGGGCCAGCCCGAACCCGCCCGAAAAATTTAGGGCCAAGCCCGAAAAAAATATTATTATTTTATTGTTTGGGCCTATTCGGGCGGCCCGAATAGGCCCGAGGAAATTCGGGCCAAGCGAATACCCGAATAAAAAAATAAATTTTTTAAAAAATATATAAAATATAATAAATATTAATTAATTTTTCAAGTTTTATATCATTTTATACCAAAATACTATATATATATATATATAAAAGTGTTTTAATGTAGTTACTTTTTTAAAAAAATTAAAAATAGTTATATTTCATATTTTTATTATTTTTAATCAATAAAATATCTTAAAATAATATTTAAAATATATTTTAATATTGATTTTAATATTTTAAGACCCAATTTTTGTTAAAAAAATTTTTGAGTCCTATAAATCATTTGCATATAAAAAATAAATTTATATTTTTTATAAATTAAGATAATTAATTTTAAAATAAAAATAAAAATAAAATTTAGGCATGTACGAATTTCTGACTCTACTGCTACATAAACATAATAAATAGAATAATATTCTTAAATAATTACTTGGTTATTGTCTATGCTAGATTTGATTAAAAATTAAGGGTCAACTAGAGTAAGAATTCCTTTTATGTAAGAGTTAAACAATATAAAAAGTTAAAAAAAATAATTTCAAAAAAAATATTTTACTCATAATTAAATAATTTTTTTATATAATATAATGATGGCAATTTTTTTTATATTCATAAAAATGAAAAGTACAATTTACCTAAAAGTTATTAAAAACTTTGAACTAATTGAGATAATAATTTTAAGTTAGTAGTCTAATTGTGATTGAATTGAGATCAGCTTAATCATAATTAAAATAATATAATTTAATTAAAATATATAAAATATTTATATATGACTATGATAAGAGCAATATTTAAACAACTAAGACATTAATTTACAAGTAAAGAAAACATTCATGAATAAATTATACATAATACAACAAAATAATAACAGAGCTACTTAAATACAAAGTTGATCAGTTATTTTTTATTTTATTCTTTTAAAATTAAGATAATATTTTATGCTTAATAGAATTATTTAAAAATTAAAATTGGTTTAAAAAATAAAGAAAAAATATTTTTAACAAGTTTCGGGTATTCGGGCCAGCCCGAATAAGCCCGAAGCCCGAAGGTGTTAAGGCCGGGCTTGGCTATATGGGCTTTTTAGAAGGGGTATGATGCTTTAAGCCCTATCCGAATAAGCCCGGCCCGAATAAGCCCGACCCGCTCGAATTACCGGCTCTAAAAAATACCCTCCAACCTCACCAGTTATTCATTGGCCATCTCTCTCTTGATATGCTGCTCATCATTCCTGCTGTGCCATCATCTTTGCCATTCCTACTGTGCCCTCATCTTTGTCCAGATCCAGATCTAAATCCAGATCGCGTCTTTAGCCCTTGCTTGTGCACATATCTAAATTGCGTTTCTGTCCCTTCAAATCTAAATCTAGATTGAGTCTTCGACCCTACTCATGTATATATCTAGATCATGTGGTAAAAGGAAAGGCAGAGATAAAGTCATTCTCTATGGAGATAGAGATGGAGGGAGTTCGAGTATGATGTTGTAGACTTACTTGGATTTATTCTTCACATATGGTGTTAGCTTCCCTACAGAGACAGAGACACATGGTGTTTGTTCATGTTTTAGTTAATTAGCTTCTCAACAAAGATAGAGATGGAGCAATACTGGATGAGTTTATTCATGTGTAGTTGATGGGTAGTTGATCGTGTTTGCTGACGTGCTCAAGTTGATGAGTTTGAGTAGAGTGGAAGGAAGAGGATATTTGTGTCTATTTAGCAATTTTTTTTTTTGTTTAATCCCATAACATTTCAAATATCATTTTATTTATTCTCACTCTTAATTACACTTTTAATCCCATTCCCATTTCCTTAAATTGCAATACCTTATGTTGATCACACGGATATTGTGGAAATATTTTTAACATATTTATTTAATATATTTGCTTATGCTATGAATTGAAAATGAAATCACAAGATAAGTTGATTTTACTTTCTCAGACCCTCTAATCACCAGTTTTCGCTGGTCATGGCCCTATTTACTTTGAGAGCTACGTTGTGACAGAACCGTGGAGGTGCTTCAGTGCGGCTTGCGCGTCACAAACATCACTCTGAAATACATATTTGATACATAGGAGTTTTAATCTTTCAGAGCTCATGTCTTTAATTTCTCTGATCGCCGTTCGCCGGCAAGCAAGCTCAGGTTCTGACGAAGACGTTAATTGATTTGCATGAGCTACTCTAATCACATGCCTTGGCGTTTTCCAGAATCTAAACGTGTTCTAATGATTATTGTTTTTCTGGGTTTTGATCTCTCTGCTAACGTCTCCGTAACAGAAATCCAAAGACAGTTGAACTGAAGGCAAGAGGTCGTTGACGAACGAACACTGGCATTGGTGGTGGGGTCCACCAGTGGTTCAGCGATTTCTTTCCTGTGAATTTTGTTTTCTTCTCGCCCCTTCGATCTCATTTTGGACGTTGAGTCACTCGCTCCTTTTGCACATTTCAACAAGACCTGCGTCTTCCAATAAAATCAGATAACACATTTTAACGTCATTGTTTCTCCATTGCTCTCTTCGTTTTCTTCTTCAATCAATTTAACTTCATAATTGAAGGAGGCATGTTTTTCGTGTATATTTTCTCTTCCAGATACCTCTTCCACTCGCATTATCTGCGTTTCTCGTCCATTAAGAGATCAATTGGTTGTGGTCGACGGAGTGGCAAAGGGCAGCATCATGTCTATGTCGGATTCCGAATTCTCGTATTGTGGTCGCGAGTACAAAAATTTCAGACAAGCGACTCGAGAGCGTATGTCGTTTCCACATTTTTTGTCTTCATCTCATTCTAATTCTCATGATAATTTTTATTATTCGTACGTTCGACTCTGGTCAATTTGGAAGCACCACGATTTTGAATATATACAATGTGGCTGAGAATCAGTTATCTTTTCCCCCTTCTCTTTAACAGCAGTTACAAACAAATATGTATCGGGAAAATTTGAAATTCATTGATGAAAGATTCGAGAGTTATCGTGCCAGATATTCCGAACCATGCGATGCAGTCAGGGTGTCATCCAAGTAACCTTCAAAACGAAGAGGATAAAAAACAGATAACTTTAGGGAATATGACTCGCCAACCTAGGTTACAGCAAACACGGTCGAACCTTCCTAGAATAGAAAGTCAAGACTTGCAATTTGAACATGTAAACGTTGGACTTGCAGACCAGAACCCACGTTAATAAGGTTACAGAATTGTACTCATCAATCCCTGCTTAAAATTTTAGCTGGATAGTTCTCATTTGTGACTATTTGAAGCTTGCTGATCCCTTCCTCTTGGGTCTAACTCTCTAGTGCAAATGTTCGTTTGGGCTTTTAGAGTACACTACTCAAGCAAATAATCATTATGATTCCATTCCATGCATTCCAAAGTCTCTTTGTGCGTGTTTTTGTTTCTCTTGGATTTTCTTCTCTCATACTAATCTTTCCTTTACTCAAAAAACAAAAAAGATAAATACATAAAAATATGGAAAAGCATAAGACGAAAAAAAATGGTTCAAATTGTCTTCATATCTTGCTCTTTAGACCATTTAGAGGCATCTATTCCTGTTCTTGACATGTGTATTTCTTTACTATAAGCATCAACCCTCACCTCATTCAAATGATTATTGAATAGTTGAAGTGTTCACCCATGAAAAGATGTTATTATACTTGCTTTGCAAGTATGGCATCCTTTTGTGTTTCGCTACATTTAGAAAATATCAGGCCATGATCGTTTACTTTTTTTTAAAATAATTTTATTTGATTTCTCTTTAACCTTAAATTCTCTGCAGGATTGTTATTTGAAATGCTTAGGTCGTCTAAAACAGGGGATTCAAAATCAACCTGGAAGGTATTTGATGCCATTTGTTACTTTAATGAATTCAGCCCTGATGTTTCTTTATATTTTCTGGATATATGGCCACACACTTAATGTCTGTTTAGATTATGTCTAACTACTTCCAATCTAGGAAACGTTGCACATTATTCCAATTTTCATGGCAATACGTTCATGAACATACATGAGACATATTTGGTGATTTGTTAGCAGTTAATTTCTGTTTGAAGTGCTTATAAATAAAAAAAAAAGGAAAAGAAAAGAAAAGAAGAGAATAAGTGTCTTTTCTAATAATGGGATCTACCACTATCCTCTGCCTGTCATGGATAATTAGTTTTCTTTATGGATATGATTGTTATAGGATTTCTTGATTTGTCTCCAGTTGTTTATAAGATATTAAGGCAGAGAGTCCAAGCTCATTGAGTCTCGCAACTGGCATATTTTTATATTTGTATTCTCGGACAAGGATAATTGATGAAGGCTTGAGGAAACGAATAAAGTTGAAAGAAAACTAATGAGAAAAAACAGCTGGATATGGAAACACAATGGCAGATAGATCAGGAGATTTCTCATTAACCTTTGTGGAAGTTTTTTGAAAGTACACGGTCAGTGCTGTGTAGCTCATCCCACTCCTTGGTGTCATTTGATTGGAGGGAGATGCTAGGAATATATATATAGAATTTGCTTTGGAGAGATTACCTCTTTGGTAATCAAGATTCTTCACATTCGATCATCATGAGATTTATATATATGGTAATAAAAACTTCTTTTATAGAGAACTTGAAGGTCGTACCCTCCATAGCATTGACAATGAGGGATTTAAGAGCTTTATTTCTTTACGGGTCTTTTCTTATGTGCTTTGACTTAGGAGTATATCTTATATTACATAGCATTTGTACCTTGCCTCATATCTGATAAAAAGTTTCTAATACTTGTGGGTTGCACATGCACACTCTTAAACTACCAAAAATTTATTTCAATTATTTTTTGAAAGAGCACATTGACTTGAACCATGTACTAGTTTGTGTTCGGTATGTCTCATAATGCTCATTGTGGTATAGCTTAAGAATATTGCACGACAATGTTTAAAGAAAAGAGAATTAGCCTAGTTTGAATTAGCCCGCATGCAGCTGAGCATAAATATATTGTACATCGGTAACTAACACACTAGTAAGTGTAAAGTTGAAGTTTGTTGATTATTATCTAATATTGATATATTTCCAACGGTTGTTTGTTTGCAGGTATTAATCATGGACAAACTCACTGTAAGGATAACGTCTCACTCGTGCAAGATGTCTGATATCACGGACGAAGGTGTTTCATGTAAGAATCACCAAATTGATTTCTGAGGAGTTATCTTTCTATCCCAGGGAATCAAATTCATGCCATTGATTTTTCCCCCTGATTTTTTTTTTTATTTCTATGTCGTTGTGTTTGACTTTATTCTCTAGTATTCAAACAAAAAGGTGAAGTAATTTATACTTTTCAGACTTCACTTGGACATATACAATTTAAAACATAAAATGTCGGTTAAGTGTTAACCATAGATGATAACACATTTACGTGCACAAATAATTTTGTTTCCACTATATTACAATATATAGTTTTGCTGTTCTTCTGTAGTGGTTGAAGATTTGTACAGGCGAAGGCAGTCATTCCCTACCATGGATGCAATTTACTTCATACAGCCAACCAAAGAGAAGTAATATATATCCTTCCTCTTCTTCTCTTGGTTATATGTTGGTATGTGGCATGTTCCATACACACAAAGACAGGAACTATCAATTATGGTTAACTTAACCAAGTTGTACTGTAATTTCAGTTCTCGTAAGTTTAGGCTCTGATTTTCTGGCAGTCTTTCATGGTTGTTTTTGCATGCTTTATTTATTTCTGCTGGAACAATTAAAATTGTTGTTGCCACCAGACATGGCTTGACGATTGGTAAAATTTATTGTCACTCATGCATGGATGTCTCTATAAACACGAAATTTACAAATCAATCTGAGAATATGTTGTCTTACCGTAAAGTTTAATCATGAAATTACTCATGGGGTTTTCTTATTTTATTTTGAGCATTATGATTTGTTCAAAGTTTTATGATCTCTTACTAAGCTTATTTCCGAATTAATTTCCTTATCATTTTATTTTTATGAACATTTTTCTAAAGAAAAAACCCTCATGTTTCTACTAAATAGGTTATTGTGAATAACACAGTTACCATTTAATGCTTTGTTTTGTTTTTGTTTTTTTGTTTTTGTATATTCTATGCATATGTTATGACCAATTGCCTGTCTTATAATTCTTTAACGCATTGTCCACCTGTCTCTCTTTATATATTTTTAAACTCTTGAATTGTCGAAAATGAAAAAGATGCTGAATTCTTATGGCTTAGTTTCATTTAGTTTTGGAGTAATTCAGTAATCGCCTATAGTTGTCATTTTGATAGAATTGATGCATAAAATATTGATTTTATCTCTTCTTTTTCTGTTCGCAGTGTTATTATATTTTTGTCAGATATGTCTGGAAAGGCACCCTTATACAGGAAGTATGTGACGATATTTTTATCTTCTTCAATCTTCAATTTCATCTTGTCTTAATTTATTGATTCCAAGCTGTGTTTTATGCTGCATTCTTGTAGGGCATTTGTATTCTTCAGTTCACCTGTTTCCAAAGATTTCATTATGAACATTAAGAAAGATACAATGGTGTTGCCTCGCATTGGTGCCCTGAGAGAGGTCAAGATTACTTGTTTAGAAGCTCAATTTTACTTGAGTTGATAATATTTTTTCCAAAACAATTCCATATTTTGCTTATTGTGAAAATTTTCTGATTTGGTCGACACTAATTAAAGCAGATGAACTTGGAGTATTTTGTCATAGACAGCCAGGTATATGAGTGTTCTTTATTTTTCTTTTTCTCTGTCATGCATGTCACGTTTATATAATGTCAATATAAATGTTTTTGCTAGGTATACGAGTGTTCTTTATTTGTCTTTTTCGCTGTCATGCATGTCACGTTTGTATAATATGAATATAAATGTTTTTGCTCCCCATTTTGTTACCATTTCTCTGTTGTCCTCACTTTGAGAGATGTGTGATTTTGTTATGTTAATGCAGGGTTTTAGCACAAACAACGATAGAGCTTTAGAGGATCTGTTTCGGAACGAGGAGAATAATTATAGAGGTGTTGCATGTCTGAACGAGATGGCTACTCGAATTGCTACAGTTTTTGCTTCATTAAGAGTACGTAGTAATTATGCTCTTTGTGAAAACAAAAGCAAAAGTAGCCAATGTTAAAGGTTGAAGCAGATGATAAAGAATATTTCTGAAGCACGTAAATATTTTTCTAGGAATTCCCTTTTGTTCGCTACCGTGCTGCCAAGTCCCTAGATGCAACCACAATGACAACTTTCCGTGATTTAATTCCCACAAAGCTTGCTGCTGGTGTTTGGGACTGCCTTGTGAAATATAAAAAAACTATACCTAACTTTCCTCAGACAGAGACATGCCAATTGCTCATCCTTGACAGATCCATTGATCAGGTTTGTTACCCCCCAAATTGGCGGAAGACTTGCAATATTCTTCCAACATTGTATGATATTGATTATAATGACTACTATAATCTTGACTTGTAGATTGCTCCTGTAATACATGAATGGACTTATGATGCCATTTGCCATGATTTACTGAATTTGGAGGGAAATAAATATGTTCATGAGGTAGTATTTAGCTCATTCTATTTCATTTTTTTCTCAGAATTTTTGTGCATGTTTTCTTTTGGACATAAATATGAATGTACTTTATTTATAAGGTTCCTAGCAAGAATGGTGGTGAACCTGAGAAAAAAGAGGTTCTTTTGGAAGACCATGATCCCATATGGCTTGAGCTTCGCCATGCACATATTGCAGATGTATGTAAAGTTCCTGTTTCTGACTTAACCATCATGAATAGCTTTTGATATTGATGGCTTTATCAGGCTAGTGAACGTTTGCATGAGAAAATGACCAACTTCGTTTCAAAGAATAAAGCTGCACAAATCCAACATGGTTCCAGGTAAGTTATAATTTTCTACGAATAGGTTATCTTTGACATCATTGAGGATAATGATGTTGAGCATTGATAATGGTTTTGGTCAATATCAGAAAGAAAACCCTTTTCAATTTTCATAAATATTTTAGAGCTTTATGACTTAAGAAATGGGGCATTTTGAAAAGATAGATAGCACTTAGTTGTCACTCTTTAGTAACCATGAAATATTTCATCACAGCTCCGCGGATCACCACCATCCACTTTAATATGCACTATGAATGCAGTCACCTGTACTGCTGTATGTAATATCGATTTGCAAAGGCGTGCATGTTTTCTTGTTTAGATGTCATGATTTGATATTTTCTCAATTATTAAAGCCTAGATTTGGAAATGATGCAAACGTTGATTTATTTGTTTAATTAATATCATGAGAAATTAACCTAAATTGCATTTCATTTACAGAGATGCTGGTGATATGTCACTGTATGACTTGCAAAAGATGGTTGAAGCACTTCCGAAATACAGCGAACAAATGGACAAACTCTCTCTCCACGTAGAAGTTAGTGGGTTTATATAATTTTTTTTTTAAATTATGATTGTATGATACGGTTTGCACAAATATACATGCTATATTTACTGGTTACATAAGTTGAACATTCTCTGAGTACAGTAAGACAAAAAGGACATAAAACTTTGATTTCATAATGTAAATTTCAAGCTGCCTTAATTTGAAATGGAGTGGAAATGTCAAATTTAAAGTATTATTTCAGAATATTGGTGTCTCAGTCTATCCAAAATTTAAGTTTCTAATAAAGAAATAACAGATGTTATCTGTCTTTGTCTATGCAAAATTTGAGTTTCCACTTTTTATTGTTCCAGTTATAATACTTGCTGATTCGCGACCGAATAAATAGAGAATTTGTGCTAAAAATTAAGTTCTGCTGGCTAGTTATTTCTCTTATAAGGAACTGATCTTCCACATGGTTTAATAGTATGTCGAAGACTATTAAGAATGACTGTGAAGCAGAGTATAATGGCACCATAGGTTTATAAACTTTTTTTTTTTCTTGGTTGGGTACAGATCGCGGGAAAAATTAACAGAATTATTAGGGAATTGGGACTTCGGGAGCTCGGGCAGCTGGAGCAAGATCTAGTTTTTGGCGATGCAGGAATGAAAGATGTGATTAAATTTTTAACTACAAACGAGGCAAGAAAAGATGTACCTCATACCTGTCATTTAATATACAACTTTTGCATATCATTTATATGAAATGCAAGTACCATCTTTATGCAGGATACGACTTGCGAAAATAAGTTGCGCTTGTTAATGATTCTTGCAGTCATTTATCCTGAGAAATTTGAGGGAGAAAAGGCTCTCAATCTGATGAAGGTGTGACTTCTCTGCTACTGTCTGGTGTCTTCAAACTAATGCTGTGGTTTGCAGCAGTGTAAATGCGTGGGTGAAAAACGAGAAAGTGAAAGTTGAAACTGTAATAGCATGCAACTGCGTGTGTGAAGCAACTAAACGGGTGTTTAGATAATTTTTAAGAAAATCATGGTTTTGGGTTTATAATTAATTTTGATGTGTAATAGGGATGTTTGGATATATTTTTCACAAAACTATAGTTTTGGTTTCTAAAATTGATTACCTCGTGTATCCAAATATGCACTAAGTCGTGCTTGAACGTGGCTGGGACGGAAGCAGCCCAAGGTGGTGTGTGCTCCCAAACATGCACTAAATCCAGCTACATGCCTTTTTCACTCCAATCAAGCACTGTTCATTTATGATGTCAAGGAATGAATTTGCCGTTACTGATGTGATTCTGAACACCCTTGTTTATATTTTATTATTATGCAATGTCAACCCTTTCAAATGCGTTTCATTTTAGGTCGCAAGGTTGACAAGTGAGGATATGACTGCAGCGTATAATTTGAAATTGCTAGGGACACAACCAGAAGCGACAAAAAGTTCAACTGGTTCTTTCTCTCTCAAGTTTGATATCCATAACGCAAAGGTACTTTCTAGTTTATGCATGTGATTTTCCCAATAATATGACGTTATCTCTGAAAATTATCCATTTAAGTTGTCAGAAGAAGAAGAAGCGTGCAGCAAGGATAGACCGACCTGGTGAAACAGAAATATGGCAGCTATCACGGTTTTACCCTATAATAGAGGTAAAAATTAAGTTGATTTACTATCATATAACATCATTATATATAATTCTGTGTTACAAATATGATTTCTGTTTCATCTTGAGTAATAATGTCATCGCTCAGGAGCTTATAGAAAAACTAAGCAAAAATGAGTTGTCAAAGGAAGACTACTCGTGTTTGAATGACCCTAGTCCAATATTCCATAACACACCTTTTGCCGGGTCTGTGAACCAAGATCAACCTGCACACTCTATGAGATCAAGACGCACACCATCTTGGGCTCGATCTCGAAGCTCTGATGATGGATATTCAAGGTTCTATTCCATTGTTTCTTCTTACAACACCAGCTCTCTTGGCTTCTTGCTTGCCACCTTCTGTTAACAGAGTTGTGTAGACTTACATGAGCTTGCTATCGTGGCACACTTCTTACTCGTTTAATTCTTATTTGCGGCCAGCGATTCAATACTTAGACGTTCTTCCAGCGATTTCGGGAAAATGGGGCAACGTATTTTTGTATTTATTGTTGGTGGGGCTGCAAGATCTGAGGTTTGACATGTGATTTTATTTACCAGTTTACAATCTCTACCTTCTTTCAGCTTGTCTGGTCTTCTGAGCCATTGTTGTTTTAATCTCCAGCTTAGGGCTTGCCATAAGCTTACTGGCAAGCTGAAGCGGGAAGTTATTCTGGGCTCAGTATTGATGATCCTGCACAGTTCATTACGGTATAAAAAATTTCAACTATTTTTCCCTCAAGGCGAACTTTATCAAGTTTTGCTGAACAAGGAAATTTACAATGTGTCTTAGTCATCTGTAAATGCAAATTTTCCTTTGTAGAAATTGAAGACGCTACAGGAGCTCTCGGTAGATGATCTTGAGATATGATGTTACAGATTTGGGAATTGGAAGATGAGCTTGTGCTTTCATGTTATTAGGTAGTTCAATCATATCTAATCATGGACCTATGGATTAGCCAAATCACTGAATCACAATCCAGCAATTATAGGCATTTTGATTCAAATCCAGGATAGTTGCATGCTAAGATCTAATTTTGTAATTTGTACAGCTGAAATATTTCTTGAGATCTGAATTTCATTATCTTTAATCTTTTTCATTGAAATTCCATCGTAATCAGTACATCAATATATCTATAAATTACTGAGCCATTCTGTTCATAAAGCCATGAACAGTGTGATTCTGAGATCTAGTTGTTTTTAACATGAGTAGTTATTACTAATTAAAACATTATTTCTTCATGTTGACATTATTCTGATCTGGCTAGGATAATTGATGCTTGTCTCACCAAGCCATTGTTAAGCGAGAGACAAAACCGTCAAAAGTTAACTGACTTCACACACACACACACACACACACACACACAAAGCTAGTGTTGTTCAGTAGTCAATGACCGAAACACTCTGCTTAACACAACAAATCATTTTTAGACATGAAAATAAACTTTAATGTGTGTGTGTGTGTGTGTGTGTGTGTGTGTGTGTGTGGACATATATATATATATATAGTCAATCAAAGATTACAGAGACTGTTAATGAAAACGTTACAGGCTTAATTGAAAAGATAATGATTAAAACTTGAATCCCCACTTTAAGGAGTCATCATAAATCAATTGATCTCATGCCCCCCCCCCTTTTTAAAACTGTTGTGACAACTTTCTCCGTATGCAACAGTGTCCTTCATTCAGTTCCATTTCTTGCCATTCGTGTGGCACCCCCTCCATTGATGAAATTTAGAAATACCCAGAAAGAAGAATCTTCAATTTCTAACTTGGAAGCATTCCAAATTAGCTCATGAATTGGAACTTCAACAAAATAACAGTCAAAAGTTGTTTTGTTTTTTGTCTGTAGTAGTGGTTTCTGTACCTGGACACAGCTTCAATAATAGATATATAGAATGCCAAGGTTTCTAAGTTTTGTTTACAAACACTGTCAGTGGCACAATTAGTGCCTTAACTACTGGAGATGCTCACATATTTAAGTTAAACCACAAATTTTAACACCTACCTAGCCAATAAAACCAGAATGATCTGTCAATAAGAAATTTATAATATATCATAAACTTATTTAATAAATTCCATGGTTGATTTTCTCACACTCTGCATAAAACACTCAAGTTCTGCTCATAACTCTGTCAACTTCTGGCAGGTAATAATATAAAGAAAAGAAGAAAGTGGTTGATGAATAATGTTATATTTGCCCCCACAAAACCACCAAAAGCAAAACGCAGAACACAATCCACTGCATCCCATTACAAAAATGTGAAGCCCCACAATGATTCTGTACAGGATCGGAAGTCCTTTTCTCAGAGCCTTTTTAATCATTATGAGCAATGAATTCCAGATGAAAGGATCTCTCTAGCTAGCTACCATTAATCGGATCTGAATAAGAAAATATATTCTTAAAACTCTTACACATCTTTTTTCTTTGCCAGAATTAGCCTACATTATACATGAAATATGATATACGAGATCACTTGATATCATTGCAAATTCAAGAAATGTGCTTCACTTTATATCAGTAATTTAGTAGGATGATCTTCATTCCTCAGCAACATGTAACTGCCCATTGAAAAGCAAGAAAAATATGAGATTAAAAATGTGGCATACTCACCGATAAGGTTAAGTCTAGTAAAAGGAATTAGTTCTTTAAAATGTAATGAATCAAGATGTCGAATCCTCATCATGAGAAGTGTTCACATTTAATGCTTGATACTGCCTTGAATAAGATTGTCTACGATAGAAGGATGCTTGTGGGTAACCAAAAAAAAAATGTGGGATACTCAAGTTTTTAATTTTAAACTAAGAGATAAATCATTTCATTTATGATTTGTGAATAATATCACTTATTATAAATTTTATTTTATGTTAATATTGATATTAATATATTTGTTATGGTCTCCAAGACAGTTTCGTTCACAACATAAAATCATGTGATCTAATACCTTCCGTTGACTCTTTTTCCCATTTTTGTTGTTTAGCATTGACTAATCTTTGTCATTAGTAGCCTCCAAATTTTAATAATTACACTCAAGTTAAGTGAAGGATCACGAACTTTATTGAACTACGAAGCAACGGAGTTTTTAAAAATTGCTTAACTTTTCAAACTATTAAAAATAATTAAAATTAATAAAGTTAGAAACCGATTTTAAATGGAAAAAAAAATTTAATTTAATTCAAAAAGCTGACAAGATATCTATGACTTAAAAACTCAAAAAATCATGTTTCGTTGATTTATTCATAATAAATTGTTATAAATTTCCAAGTCTTCCTTCTCACTCTATAAAGCAATAGTTGTAAGAGAAGGAGTCCATTCTGACAGTCAACATCAGCATCGACGTGATTAATTCATTCAGAAGAAGAGGATCACATTAATAGTGATAGAATATGTATATTGCAGTAGTAGCTTTCAATTTCATTTCATTTCATAGTAGCTTAAATTGAAATCAAGAATGATTCCACTAATAAACTTTGAAAACTTGCATATCCGAAGCTCATTTGTCCTTTTATGATTTTATTTTATTTTTTTGTCCCTTTCCATCCTCAATCAATTGCATATATATACATCCATATGTAAAGACGGGAAGCGTCAACAAGGAGAGAAGCCTAAAAATGGCGGAAGGAGATAACAAATAGGTGTAAAAAAAATAAAATAAAATTAGCCTCACATCTATTATTAAGGCCAATTTTAACTATAGTGGGACTTCTTATATTAATTTAATTCCATACTTAGATGTCCTAACTGCCTTTTTAGATTTATGAGTCAATTAACTCCCATATTAAAAACACCACAAATACTAAATCCTTGCTGTCACAATCACAACCAACCAAATTTTGGGGGCTAAATAGAGTGGTACACATAAGTCCTAGAAATTAGGCCAATCTTATTTTAAGCTTCAAATGTTTGCACAATTGTTGTTAAAATTTATGGGTGAATGTGTCAAAACAAAGTCCCACATTGCTCAAATGAATTGAGACCTCGATGTGTAACATCTCAAGTTTTAAATCCAATTTCTAATTTCTAATTAAAGACTAAATTAGTGCATTAATTAAGTTAATTATGTTTTCAGCTTGTTAATTCACATTTTGGATTATTAGACAATTTCAAGATCAAGCTAGGGTAAAAGTTGGATCGGATCAGGTCCAACTAAGTGAGTCAAGTGAGTTTTAGCTCATTGTACCACACTCTATAGCATGGCACAATGCACTGCAGCACATAGTGCAAAAATTTGATAGATAAGTAAGTCATGAATTATCTGAAAATCAAAAGTTTGAGAAAAACAAAGTGCTCGAAGAGAAGGAGATTTAGTTGTGCTTGCGTTTGAAGGTTTGAGTATTGGGAACTTATTTGGTCACTTGGATATGTTGAACCAAATGTTTTGATAATAACAAAATCAAGAGAAAGCTATTTGTTATGCATATTGAATATCATAAATCAAGTGACAAAATGTTAAGAAGATAGAGTGAGCATGAAGAAGAAGATCAAAATCATATCATGCAAGCTACACTTAAGAGATGGAAGAATCAAGAGAAGGAAGAAAGTTTTTATAGATTATATTTATTTTTCTCTTAGATAAATTTGTGAAAACTAATTGAGAGCAAAACATGATTTGAAGTAAGATTGCATTATATAAGATGTCATAAGCTCATAAGTCCTTTAAGGTTAAAAAATCATATCTATGCAAGGATAAGAAATGTCCACGCATGTTTGACACATATTTGTATGCACTCATGATTCACATTATTTCGTTCATGTTTGGACTGTAAGTGTCCCACACATTTTTGATCATTTTGTGTGCATATAGGACTTAGAGGATATCATTCAAGCTTGAATCATAATTGGACCTTGTTTGAATTAGAGCATAAGAAGTGAGGACATGGCAATGTATGCTGGTTTAGGCTTGGACATCTTTGTGTCCATGCTTGATTAGTAGGTCAGTGTGGAGAAATGTCTTAGATAATTTTTTATAATCTAATTCATACTTGGATGTTATTTTTATTCATGATTGATTAATTCTATGTGTCAGTTTGAAGTGTTCTTAAGAAGCAATCCACATAGTTGAGTCCATGCATAAATGGATAAAACACTTATTAATCCTCAAGTTTGACTTAACGTGAGCCTTATTACTGAACATGTTATTGAACCTTGATTTAAAAGTTTCCCAAGCGTGATTCACATCATAGTGAGTGGTATCTCTATATTATTCATTAATGCTTGGTACATAAGTTGCCCACACGTGTTTAGGCTTACAGTAAAGCCTTGTGCTTCAACCTTCATCATACATGCTTGAATCTAAAATGGTCTATGCTTGGATCAAGTGAAGTAGTAAGTAAGCTAAAAGTGAAGTTAACTCATCCATGCTTGGATCATGCTTATTCATACATGAATGAGAGTTCCTATAGCATTTAATGTGCTTCATTGGAAAAGTTTTTTTATCTATCTTAGACTACTTCCATATGTGCATAATAGCTATATTTTGCACCCTGTAGGTTCTAATAGTCCTAAACCATGAAAAATCTATAAATAAGACCTCATTTGAGTTAGTAGGTAATGCTTAGATAGATTGAATAAATAGAATTTGCATCAATCTTTCATCTTACATTGTGTTCATGTAAAAAGCTCTCAAGTTAGTTATTAGGTTTACATTGTAATATCTACTCTTTGAGAGAGTTTATGAGTGTACCTAAGAGTTTCCTAATTATCTCTTTGCAAGAGAACTTGTGAGGAAAAGAAAATCTTTGTTATTAAAGAGAGTCAGGGAAAGATTTCCTTGGTATATTGAAAGAGCTCACTATCTTAAAATTAAAAATTAAGAAGACTCACTGGTGCAATTAAAGATCTTGTAATCATCTCACAAGTACTTATGAAAGTTTGTGGATTGTACTAAGGTGGTAAGCACCTATTGAAACTTGTATCATAATGAAAAATCTTAAGTATGAGCTTGGGGATTGAATGTTGGCCGAACCACCTGACTGTGTAGTACCTCTCTTCTTAAATTTAGTTTAATCATACTTTTCATTCTCTCTTGATGCTTACATTAAAGGATTTATACTTCGCAAGAATTTCAAAATCTATCCAAATTTATCAAAGCTATTCTAGT